ACCTGACCCCTGAGCATCTTCCATGTACACATTATTTATTATCTCTCTTGTCTACTTTCCAAAGAGTACATTTTTGATTGCTCTGAGGAAGTCTCATTAATTTGGGTGCTTCATGGCGTACATGTGTGCAACATATATTTATTGTATTCCGTCAGTGTGAGAAATCTCTCCCCGTATTGCAAGGGAACGGGAGTATCTCAGGGGAAAAGAACAAGTAATTTCAAATGAATGAACATTAAGGTGACATCTCTGGATTTTAATGTTTTTTTGACACCACCTTTTAATTTTCCTGGCTGATGATACATTTGCTCTGATAAGCTCACCAAATATATCATGGTATGACAATAATATAACTAGATCCTTTAAATGTCGTTTCTCTTTTATGTGGAGATCTGTTTGCATCTTGTATCATATCTCTAGTGTTAAGTTCCTCGTCTTTCCACATTAAGTAACTGGAATTTATCACTGTTCAGTGTCATATTATTTTCCGTTCCACATTGGAAGATATTATTTGATATGTTTGCAGTTTTTCAGTGTTTTATAGAGAAGAAATTTTCATACATATTTTGGCATCGTCTGCAAAGCAAGACTCGAAGCTTTATATTTTATTTTGTTTGATTTGAGAATGAAGAAAAACATTGGTGAAATGGCACTACCTTGAGGTACAGAGATTGTCACTGTGCTCGAGTTTGATTTTGATTGGATTACCGATACGCTTTGTAACGTGTTCGTCAGGAAAGTGAATAACCATCGGCCTACTTGAGCTGTTATCCTTTCAACATTATTTTTATGTGCAAGGGAGCCGGTCGGCCGAGCGGACAGCACACTGGACTTGTTATCCTGTGGTCCCAGGTTCGATCCCGGGCGCCGGCGAGAAACAATGGGTAAAGTTTCTTTCACCCTAGGCCCCTGTTACCTAGCACTAAAATAGGTACCTGGGTGTTAGTCAGCTGTCACGGGCTGCTTCCTGGGGGTGGAGACCTGGTCGAGGACCGGGCCGCGGGGACACTAAAGCCCCGAAATCATCTCAAGATAACCTTAAGAAGATATCACTCAAGGGCATTCTTTAATGAAATGCATTTTACAAAATCTTATTTTTTTCCCATGGCTGTCAAGACTTTAATTTTGTCATAGTGATTGAGTAATAGTGATTTCTCTAGATTCTCACCAAAATCTAAGCCTTTGTTCATATTACACATTTCATAATAAATATGGTCTTCCACGAGTCTTTATGTGCAGTTGTCACCACCATCCTTATCCACGGATGCTAAACGGCTTCAAATTAAGCAACTTTAACATCGTGGAGTGTCCTTTAAGCGGAGGTGTTTTGTTTACTAAAGCGACATCGTCTGGACACTAATGAGAGCCACCCCCAAGGCGAGTATTGTTGCCCTGCCTTTTTTAATAATCCATTTATATAATCGTTAGCCAAATGTATTTGGTTAAACAATTATTTATTAAGTACATGCATTTATTTTGGCGTATTACCATGATATGCTTGTAGCTATTAGATGTAATTACATATCCTGATATGGATTCATTATGAAGGAGGCCTTCTGGGATGGTGTTCACACAATGGTCGAAACATGCTGACTTGACACTCTATCTTGAGATATCTTGGCTTGTTCTATGAATAGCCATGCCTGGTCCATGTGCTTTCATAGACCATGTTATTCAGACATGTTATGCCATAATTTTGGTGGAAAATTTTCCACAGATGCTTGGTTGCTGAATGTGCATTGTTTCCTGAATGTGGATTGTCAGCAACACTTGCAATGCAGGTTGACAGGTGGTAATGAGAGGCTGGCAGTGTGCCTTCACAAACGTCCGGGGTGCCACATGTTGGTGCCACTACTAACTAGTCAGCTTCACTCAACGTCTTGTTGAGCTGCTGTGAGTTGGTTGCTGCTGCCTTGGGTTGAGATGAGTTTCATATGATGGTGTAAGGTTTTGAGGATTTCGTCGCTAATTAGATAGTTCAGTTGTATTTTCCCACAATTCTCTTTCCCTGTCAATTAACATGATGTTTCTTTGAAGCTGTGTATCTCTCTCTCTCTCTCTCTCTCTCTCTCTCTCTCTCTCTCTCTCTCTCTCTCTCTCTCTCTCTCTCTCTCTCTCTCTCTCTCTCTCTTTCTCTCTCTCTCATTCATTCCAAATCTGGGAGTCTCTGCCTTGTAGCATATTTCCTGCAGGACTTGACAGCTGCGATGTCATGAACAAATGACCAGATTATCAATCCGCTCTCCGGTCTGCATTCCCACAGGTTAAAAATGGCAGTCTATTTTTCTCTCGCCTATCAGAGAATCCATTATGGTGGATAAATGCATCGAAATGTTCTGGCGCCGCCGCTCTCCAAAACGGAATTGTCGGTCTGTGGAAGGAAAGTACGCACTTTCTTCTCGTCTGGTAGAGAAAGTTTATCTCCCATGGGACCAGGCGGTCGATTGTTGGGGTACTCTCCTCCGCAGCTGGGGGTACTGGCATACATAGAGAAGCGCAAGGTAAACCCCTTGATCTACTTTTGTTTGTTGGTCATGTAAAGCTTGTGACACTGCCAGTGGTAAACTCACTTCATCCACCTATTGACGTGCACTAAATAGATGAAGGAGACTTTACGATATTTTCACATTTTATCTCATTTACTCTCCACAAACAAATAATTAGTCAAAATAAATGACCATTTGGATTCGGATTTCACATCCGGCTGTAAGTAGTTTAGACTATCAGGGCCGAGGACTGACTGGCTGCCACCGCCAGCCACCGATAACTGCAGTACCAGTTTGGCCCGCGACCTGCTTTTCCTGCCAGGGATAATATATCAACTCTCCAAAAACCCTGTGTGATTATTCTTCTGACTCGTGATGTGTGAGACGTCGTCCACTGTGTCATGGTTCCTCGTCTTGGACTGTTGAGTGGTGGTATTAACTGTTAGCCCTGACATCCCTCAGCGTAGTTAATTGTTCTCTGACATCCCTCAGTGTAGTTACCTGTGCCCTGGCATCCCTCAGCGTAGTCAACTGTGCTCTGACATCTCTCAGTGTAGTTAACTGTGCTCTGACATCCCTCAGTGCTGTTAACTGTGCCCTGACATCCCTCAGCGTAGTTAACTGTGCCCTGACATCCCTCAGCGTAGTTAACTGTGCCCTGACATCCCTCAGCGTAGTTAACTGTGCCCTGACATCTCTCAGTGTAGTTAACTGTGCTCTGACATCCCTCAGTGTAGTTAACTGTGCCCTGACATCCCTCAGTGTAGTTAATTGTTCTCTGACATCCCTCAATGTAGTTAACTGTGCCCTGACATCTCTCAGTGTAGTTAATTGTTCTCTGACATCCCTCAGTGTAGTCAACTGTGCTCTGACATCCCTCAGTGTAGTCAACTGTGCTCTGACATCTCTCAGTGTAGTTAATTGTTCTCTGACATCCCTCAGTGTAGTTAACTGTGCTCTGACATCCCTCAGTGTAGTCAACTGTGCTCTGACATCTCTCAGTGTAGTTAATTGTTCTCTGACATCCCTCAGTGTAGTTAACTGTGCTCTGACATCCCTCAGTGTAGTCAACTGTGCTCTGACATCTCTCAGTGTAGTTAATTGTTCTCTGACATCCCTCAGTGTAGTTAACTGTGCTCTGACATCCCTTAGTGTAGTTAACTGTGCTCTGACATCCCTCAGTGTAGTCAACTGTGCTCTGACATCTCTCAGTGTAGTTAATTGTTCTCTGACATCCCTCAGTGTAGTTAACTGTGCTCTGACATCCTTTCAGTGTAGTTAACTCTCCTCTGATATCACTTTATCAGGTTATCAGGATATTTCAGTCACTTTTTTGTTATGACTGTTGTAACCTCGTTGTTACACCACCAGTGACCACGGTGTTACACCACCAGTGACCACGGTGTTACACCACCAGTGACCACGTTGTTACACCACCAGTGACCACGGTGTTACTCCACCAGTGACCACGGTGTTACACCACCAGTGACCACGGTGTTACGCCACCAGTGACCACGTTGTTACGCCACCAGTGACCACGGTGTTACACCACCAGTGACCACGGTGTTACACCACCAGTGACCACGTTGTTACACCACCAGTGACCACGGTGTTACTCCACCAGTGACCACGGTGTTACACCACCAGTGACCACGGTGTTACGCCACCAGTGACCACGGTGTTACACCACCAGTGACCACGGTGTTACACCACCAGTGACCACGTTGTTACACCACCAGTGACCACGGTGTTACGCCACCAGTGACCACGGTGTTACACCACCAGTGACCACGGTGTTACTCCACCAGTGACCACGGTGTTACGCCACCAGTGACCACGGTGTTACACCACCAGTGACCACGGTGTTACGCCACCAGTGACCACGTTGTTACACCACCAGTGACCACGGTGTTACTCCACCAGTGACCACGGTGTTACACCACCAGTGACCACGGTGTTACTCCACCAGTGACCACGGTGTTACACCACCAGTGACCACGGTGTTACTCCACCAGTGACCACGGTGTTACACCACCAGTGACCACGGTGTTACGCCACCAGTGACCACGTTGTTACGCCACCAGTGACCACGGTGTTACACCACCAGTGACCACGGTGTTACACCACCAGTGACCACGTTGTTACACCACCAGTGACCACGGTGTTACGCCACCAGTGACCACGGTGTTACACCACCAGTGACCACGGTGTTACGCCACCAGTGACCACGGTGTTACGCCACCAGTGACCACGGTGTTACGCCACCAGTGACCACGGTGTTACTCCACCAGTGACCACGTTGTTACGCCACCAGTGACCACGTTGTTACACCACCAGTGACCACGTTGTTACGCCACCAGTGACCACGGTGTTACGCCAGCAAGGAAATTATCAATTCATAAATTTCTCTCCAACATAGATTTTTAGGCCCACAGTCCTGCTTCCTCAGACGTGTCTCATTTCCATCTCATTATCGAGTAAGAAATTTCTCATTGTGGCGTCAACATGTCCTAGATGAATGTGGATCATTCTCAAGATCGTTCTCAAGATCGTTCTCAAGATCGTTCTCAAGATCGTTCTCAAGATCGTTCTCAAGATCGTTCTCAAGATCGTTCGCAAGATCGTTCTCAAGATCGTTCTCAAGATCGTTCTCAAGATCGTTCTCAAGATCGTTCTCAAGATCGTTCTCAAGATCGTTCGCAAGATCGTTCTCAAGATCGTTCTCAAGATCGTTCTCAAGATCGTTCTCAAGATCGTTCTCAAGATCGTTCTCAAGATCGTTCTCAAGATCGTTCTCAAGATCGTTCTCAAGATCGTTCTCAAGATCGTTCGCAAGATCGTTCTCAAGATCGTTCTCAAGACCGTTCTCAAGATCGTTCTCAAGATCGTTCTCAAGACCGTTCTCAAGACCGTTGTCAAGTTCATAACACTTAATTGACTACGTCTGTGTTCTCCTGTTCTGCTTCATGGCTCTAATATTCCTGTTGTGCTTCATGGCTCTAATATTCCTGTTGTGCTTCATGGCTCTAATATTTCTGTTGAGCTTCATGGCTCTAATATTCCTGTTGTGCTTCATGGCTCTAATATTCCTGTTGTGCTTCATGGCTCTAATATTCCTGTTGTGCTTCATGGCTCTAATATTCCTGTTGAGCTTCATGGCTCTAATATTCCTGTTGTGCTTCATGGCTCTAATATTCCTGTTGTGCTTCATGGCTCTAATATTCCTGTTGTGCTTCATGGCTCTAATATTCCTGTTGTGCTTCATGGCTCTAATATTCCTGTTGTGCTTCATGGCTCTTATATTCCTGTTGTGCTTCATGGCTCTAATATTCCTGTTGTGCTTCATGGCTCTTATATTCCAGTTGTGCTTCATGGCTCTAATATTCCTGTTGTGCTTCATGGTTCTAATATTCCTGTTGTGCTTCATGGCTCTAATATTCCTGTTGTGCTTCATGGCTCTAATATTCCTGTTGTGCTTCATGGCTCTTATATTCCTGTTGTTCTTCATGGCTCTAATATTCCTGTGATGCTCAGCCGCTGCTCAGTCACTGCTCAGACCTTCTCACCTTTCGGGTCTTCAAAATATCAACAAATCCCTAATTAACCTTAATTAACAAATCTTGAGAATTATAATATTGATTTTCAGTGGGGCGAATAATTGTTTTCCTAGTTTTTAACATGGCTGTTGTGAGTTACCATGGCTGGTGTGGTGAGTTACCATGACTGGTGTGGTGAGTTACCATGACTGGTGTGGTGAGTAAACATGGCCAGTTAGGTGAATAAACATGATAGTCATAGTGGATATGGTGGTTAATGCTTCATCAATTCTGACGCCCCATGTTAAGACCCCCGTTTGTTACGGCTCGTGAAATATTTGAGTTTCCCCAAAAAAGTTCCATGAAAACAAACCGTGCTCAATGACACTGAGTAGAAAGGACAATAAATCTCAATTTTACACTCACGAGTGTAATCTTACGGGATCATACAACATTCCCACATACATACACCTAGGGTTAAACGTAAGTACACCGGCCCCAGTGTTTAGGACCTGAATGAAACGGCATGAACAGTAAGAAACAAAATAATAGCATGATATCCACTACATGTAACGCGCAGTACTCAGTAACGTTGAATTACTGCTACTAGTTTGCCTGTGACTCACACACCAGGAGAGAGTCAGTGTTATATTGCAGACAATGAGTTATAATGTAGACAATGAGTGTTCTAATGTTGACAATGAGCGCCAGAAATAATCGCCACTGGGGCCAGCGACAAGATGACGACACGTTGGTGGTCGACACGTCGGTGGTCGACACGCTGGTGATCGACACGCTGCATGGTGGTCGACACGCCGGTAGTCGACCCGCTGGTGGTCGACACGCCGGTGGTCGACACGCCGGTTGTCGACACGTCGATGGTAGACACGTCGGTGGTGGACACACTGGTGGTCGACACGTCGGTGGTCGACACGCTGGTGATCGACACGTCGGTGGTCGGCACGCAGGTGGTCGACACACAGATGGTCGGCATGCTGGTGATCGACACGTCGGTGGTCGACACGCAGGTGGTCGACACGCCGGTAGTCGACACGCTGGTGGTCGACACGCCGGTTGTCGATGGTAGACACGTCGGTGGTGGACACACTGGTGGTCGACACGTAGGTGGTCGACACGCTGGTGGTCGTCACGCAGGTGGTCGACACGCTGGTGGTCGACACGCTTTTAGTCGATACGCTGGTGGTCGACACGCAGGTGGTCGACACGCCGGTGGTCGACACACTGGTGGTCGACACGCTGCATGGTGGTCGACACGCTGGTGGTCGACACACCGGTGGTCGACACGCAGGTGGTCGACACGCTGGTGGTCGACACGTCGGTAGTCGACACGCTGCATGGTGGTCGACACGCTGGTGGTCGACACGCCGGTGGTCAACATGCCGGTGGTCGACACGCTGGTGGTCGACATGCCGGTGGTCAACATGCCGGTGGTCGACACACTGGTGGTCGACACGTCGGTGGTCGACACGCTGGTGGTCGACAAAATAAATGAGTGATAACCTCTGTCACGAGGTTGTCTTAATCTTGCGTCACGGGTCGTCGCCTTGAACGACTCACGTTATAGGACGCAAGACGGCGAGGGTCTTGCGTCAAATTTGTGTGATGCAACCTGTGAGGCAGCTCTACCCAGGTGTGTAATCAAGGCGGTGAGGCAGCTCTACCCAGGTGTGTAATGTAGGCTGTAAGGCAGCTCTACCCAGGTGTGTAATCAAGGCTGTAAGGCAGCTCTACCCAGGTGTGTAATGTAGGCGGTGAGGCAGCTCTACCCAGGTGTGTAATGTAGACTGTAAGGCAGCTCTACCCAGGTGTGTAATGAAAGCTGTGAGGCAGCTCTACCCAGGTGTGTAATGAAAGCTGTGAGGCAGCTCTACCCAGGTGTGTAATGTAGGCTGTAAGGCAGCTCTACCCAGGTGTGTAATGTAGACTGTAAGGCAGCTCTACCCAGGTGTGTAATGAAAGCTGTGAGGCAGCTCTACCCAGGTGTGTAATCAAGGCTGTAAGGCAGCTCTACCCAGGTGTGTAATCAAGGCTGTGAGGCAGCTCTACCCAGGTGTGTAATCAAGGCAGACTTCAGTAAAGTATCTACGTTACAGAGCATTAGGGAAGGGATTGATTGATAGCATATAATGCTTCCAATCAATGATTGAATACACAGAATACTTGATTATTACAAAAACTTAACACTATTACACAGCGTTCCCTTGTGTTAATGATCGTACCACAGCCAGGACAGACTAAACAAGCACAGCCAAGAGGACGCAGTCCAGCGGAGCCTCACTGTGCCTGAGAGAACTTGGTCTCTAGCCACGTGTAAGGCAACAGAACTATGCTAACTATACACACACACGTGATAACTCTCCAGCACTGGCACAAGCGCGGGATAATTGTGGTTGAACAGCTGTCGACTCAAACAACACTGTAAGCAGTTCCCAGTAATTATCCCTGGAAGTGAATTATTGTCAAATTCCACAACAATGAGATATCAGTTATCACTGATAGAGAATGTACAATAACACATTACACAATACAAAATGTCATCACTGTCATATGACAGCTCCACTGATCACGTACTGAGTCTGTCAAGTCTACTCCAGTCTACTCCAGACTTCTCCGTCTACTCCAGTCTACTCCAGACTTCTCCTGTCTACTCCAGTCTACTCCAGACTTCTCCAGTCTACTCCAGTCTACTCCAGTCTACTCCAGACTTCTCCAGTCTACTCCAGTCTACTCCAGTCTACTCCTCTCTACTCCAGTCTACCTCGAGACCTCATGGATCGTCACTCAATGCTCACAGAGACGCCGTTCAAATGGGAAATAATTACTTAAGACTCAGAGGCAATATGACAACAGTGGTCACTATTAGTGGCCCTAAATGTGTGATACAGTGATCAAACACGTATGGAGCTGACTGGTCATTACCACCGGGGGAGCCGCACCCTGGCAGCCGCACCCTGGCAGCCGCACCCTGGCAGCCGCACCCTGGCAGCCGCACCCTGGGAGCCGCACTCTGGGAGCCGCACTCTGGGAGCCGCACCCTGGCAGCCGCACCCTGGAAGCCGCACCCTGGCAGCCGCACCCTGGCAGCCGCACCCTGGCAGCCGCACCCTGGCAGCCGCACCCTGGCAGCCGCACCCTGGCAGCCGCACTCTGGCAGCCGCACCCTGGCAGCCGCACCCTGGCAGCCGCACCCTGGGAGAAGCACCCTAGGAGCCACACCCTTGGAAGGGGCGGAGAAGCTGCAGCAGCATTGAAGCATCGTAAGTCAGCTAAGTGAAACATCGTACGTCAGTGCGCAGTTGAGTGAATCATCGTAAGTCAGTGCGCAGCGAAGTGAATCATCGTAAGTCATTGCTCAGCGAATTGAAACATCGTAAGTCAGTGCGCAGCGAAGTGAAGCATCGTAAGTCAGTGCGCAGCTAACGGGCTATCAGAGCAATACGTTACCAAGGCTAACGGACCTGCGTCCGTACTGATGAACTCTCGCTTAACCAGGCTGTCGATTCCTAGCAATCAATCACTAGGTGGTAACAACAAAATGATAGATTTAACCAGCCTTACCACCTCGTTAACGAGGCGATGATCAGCCATTGGATTTCGTCGATTCGTGTTATGACTGGTGTTATCTCGTGTTATGACTGGTGTTATCTCGTGTTATGACTGGTGTTATCTCGTGTTATGACTGGTGTTATCTCGTTTTATGACTGGTGTTATCTCGTGTTATGACTGGTGTTATCTCGTGTTATGACTGGTGTTATCTCGTGTTATGACTGGTGTTATCTCGTGTTATGACTGGTGTTATCTCGTGTTATGACTGGTGTTATCTCGTGTTATGACTGGTGCTATCTCGTGTTATGACTGGTGTTATCTCGTGTTATGACTGGTGTTATCTCGTGTTATGACTGGTGTTATCTCGCGTTATGACTGGTGTTATCTCGTGTAATGACTGGTGTTATCTCGTGTTATGACTGGTGTTATCTCGTGTTATGACTGGTGTTATCTCGTGTTATGACTGGTGTTATCTCGTGTTATGACTGGTGCTATCTCGTGTTATGACTGGTGTTATCTCGTGTTATGACTGGTGTTATCTCGTGTTATGACTGGTGTTATCTCGCGTTATGACTGGTGTTATCTCGTGTAATGACTGGTGTTATCTCGTGTTATGACTGGTGTTATCTCGTGTTATGACTGGTGTTATCTCGTGTTATGACTGGTGTTATCTCGTGTTATGACTGGTGCTATCTCGTGTTATGACTGGTGTTATCTCGTGTTATGACTGGTGTTATCTCGTGTTATGACTGGTGTTATCTCGCGTTATGACTGGTGTTATCTCGCGTAATGACTGGTGTTATCTCGCGTTATGACTGGTGTTATCTCGTG